TGCTCTCCAGAGTGAGCCTGCCTCAAGATGTTTCAAGGACTCCATTATGACGAAATTTTTGAAAGACCAAAGGACATACATTGCTTTAGGAAGAGATAATGCATTTAGCAGGAAAGGTTTCGGAGGGCTCTATCTCCTATCAGTGGTTAAGCCTTTGAATGGGGAAAAAATGTAAGAGTACAATGCAATTTAAAATTCCTGTTACATGCAAAGATGCACATGACTTGTGCTTTGCAATGGGCCTGTTCCTATAACGACAAATATGCTAGAAATGGTAAAACTTTCCATTTGGGTAGGACCTGGTGAGAGGCTCCAAAGAGCCCTTTTTAATCTCAAGAGAAGACTGTTTAGCTAAAGCTGCATGTTTTTATCTGAAGCATTTGGTGGCACAATGTAAATGTAACATTTTCACAGAAATTGCTCCTGATATTTTCTCTTCCTGGTGGAAAGTTTCAACCAATTAACTGAGGCAAACATACAATTACATATCAGTTCACAGTGGACTTATCCCTCGTATTCTTTAATCCCTGTCAGAAGCTAACAAAAGCTCAATCACTGGAGATCAGCTGCCTCAAAGGAAACCTGAAACAGGCAGCCCATCATCCTGACTGGTGGCACAAAATCCCAGCCACCACAGGGCTTCCAGCTGCAAGAAGGTGAGACATTTCCTGGGAGAGACACCAGTGCTAACTTTGCTGCAGGAATGACACTTGTAGCAAATTAATTTTTAAGGGACTTGCACCTCTAGTTTAAAGTGATTTGGATGGGAAATCTCAGTGGGGCACTCTGATTGTATTTCCTTCTTCGTTGCAGATAAAAATCCTGCAGCTTTAAATATCCATCTTTTCCTGTGTTCTTTATACTGTGCGTCGCTTTTCACAAGGGCACAATACAATTCAAGTGGCAGGACAAGAGAAGCTGAAATGATAAAGCCTCAGGGCTGGATGTGCATAACCAGGGGCCTCTCAACCACAGCAGACTTAAAAGCTTTCTAAATACAAGCTATTCACTATAATTTCCATCCAAGCCCCAAGCCACTGTGGTTATTGTGGATGGAAACAACACCCCAGCAATCTTGAACAGCCCGAGCTCTAAGTGGTTTCAGTGACAGTAATTCCACTGAGCTCCACGAAAAGATCAAGCATAATTGCCACCATATTTAGTAAAATGGATGTTATTAATTTAAAGTATAATAGTGCAAAGGGACAGAGACGTTGACTGCATTACTGTGATTAGGGTGATGTCTCTCCCCATTTCTTCCCCTTCCCTCCTACCTGCCTTGTTTAATTCACTCCACTCTTGCTTGAATAACCTCAGCACCACGTCAGTGTTTAACCCTGCTCCACTCACAGCCATAAACTTGGCTACATCAGCTGTGAACACACAGCAACTGCCAGGCAGAATTTACCTGGAAGTCCCAGTTTTATGGTCATGCCACTGCTACACGCAGGTTTTGGGTTTTGGGGGCTGCTGGATTTGGGAGCAGGATGCCAGCTACCAAAACATTACACAGCAATTTCAGAGCTGAGGAAAAAAAAGGTTAACATGGGGGAAAGGGAACAGTTGCCAGGATCACATTCCTGAGCATCCAGGGCAATAAAAAGGCTGGTATTTTCACATTCAAAAAGCACCAAAGCAGTGCTTGGCAAAGCTTGGCAGGAACATGCCCTGTGCTTGCTGGGGTGAGTTCTGGATGATGACATTTCAAAATTTAAAATGTCAGCCATAAAAAACAGCACAGCCTCTAACTTTTTCTCTTTTTCTTTTTCTTTTTCTTTTTCTTTTTCTTTTTCTTTCTTTTTCTTTTTCTTTTTACTGTAGGTACTTCTAAAATGAAATCATTGTAGCAGTTACTGTTCTCCACAAAGCAGCCACTGGAGCTGCTGCCCTGCTAATGCTCAAGTGAACAGCTGGCACCATTTACTCAGTTTATTTATACTTACAGTCCAGGATGATGTCTTTAAGCTTTCTGGGCTATTTCTCCACATTTCAGATTTCAGGTAACTTTGCCCTCTGCACACATTTCAAGATTTTTCACATTATTTCCTCCTCTCCCCGTTAACCAAGTTAGAGCCTTCCTGCCACTTTATTCTCTCAAATGCAGCTTTATGGTACACCTGCATTTCTCCTACCCAGTTCAGAAAAAGCACCATTAAAGTTAATGCATTTCAGGCATGAGGGCAACCAGAGAGGGATAAACTTCTTGAAGTCTTTGGTCTTTGTCTCACTCTCTTTTGCAATATGAAACTTAAAGCCATAAGAACAAACAAAAAGAAAATTGGCTTTTGTTGTAAACAAGTGTATATGAGAGTGTGTGTGCATGTGTGAGCATCTTATGACAACAAAATGAATTTTCACTAGGTTGTGATGTGAGTTAGCCTTCTCAAGTTCCACAGGAATCTCCCTTTAACCTTGGGGCACTTTCTAGGGAGGGGTTTTTATTTAGCCATCATTTTTCTGTACCATATACTGCAGATTTTTAGGCTTGTGCCTTCAAAGTTTGTTTGTGCAATACGATATTTATCATAAGATAAATATCACAACCCTTCCAAAACACAGCTGTTAGCACATGACTGAGGTAACCAAGTACAAATCACTCTTGCACATACTCAGTCTTCTAAGAAGGAATACTCAGGAGAGGCTTTATACATATTGTAGTAGTTACTGGCTCCCCCTTTTGATGACTTCCTCTACTGTTAACATTTCTTTGTACTGTTTAAATATGGGGTAATATGCTTCAAAATTAATAACAAACCCAAACAAACCAACAGCCAAAAAAACCCCACAAAGAAACTTGGAGAATGGTTACAGATGTACAGCCTTTCTCAGGACCTCTGCTTTTGCTAATGGCAAAGTCTTTTTGCTTTAGGAGAACCATCCTGCCTCAGCCATGACAGAAGGGTCACACACTACATATGGAAAAGGTTCCTGTCACAGGTGATCACTGGCTGTCATCCTCCTGACCCTTTCCTAAAGTGTCACATTTACAGCAAACTGGACGAGGTCCTGCAGTCCTATAAAGAGCCAGCACACATAAATGCATTTATGACTCCTGCATGGCTGCCCCAGGTACACTGACACTGCTGCCACAGTCCCCTGATTAGCTTTTGGGTGGGGTTTCAGTGCTCACAGCTGCAATGCAGGCTCTGGTTCAGCCCCAGAGCCACCCCAGGGGCTGGCAGTGCTCCCACTGTCCCCAGCTGGCACCTGCCCAGCTCAGGCTCAGGCCATGAAGTCATCACCAACTCTCCCACTGAGCTCAGCAGACACAAACTAAACTCCATTTCGAGATCAACCCCACCTCCCACACAGCAAATGCTCCACTGAACTAAACTTCAGGCCCGATTCACAACAAAATACACAAAGCCTGGTTTGTCTCTGGTATTTTATCAGCGGTAGGTAGAGCACGTGGATGAAATTCCAGTCAGGGGAGCTCTGCTTTAAGTGGATTCAGGGGAAAGCAGCCCACACAGGTAGGGAGGAATCCCACTGTGAGGGATTTCTGGGCAAGGCAGGAGGAGAAGGGACTCTCCTGCACTAGCCTGTCCAACAGGAGAGTCAGCCACTGTGAGTGCGAGATGGCTGGATGTGTTAGCAGGCAGCTTTTTAAACAAAATGCCTGTTTTTTCCCCTGGGATCTGAGACACAGTCCTGTTTGCTCTGCTTTCACAGAATCCTAGAATGGTTTGGGATTAAAGGGACCTTAAACCATCCAGTTCCAGCCCCCTGCCATGGACAGGGACACCTTCCACTAGACCAGGCTACTACAAGCCCCATCCAACACTTCCAAGGATGGGGCAGCCACAGCTTCTCTGGGCAGCCTGTGCCAGGGCCTCAGCACCCTCACAGCAAAGAGTTTCTTCCTAATATTTAACCTAACCGTGCTTGCTGTCAGTTTGAAGCCATTCTTCCATGCCCTATTATCCCTGCCCTTGTAAAAAGTCCCTCTCCAGCTCTCCTGGAGCCCCTTTAGGCACTGGAGGGGCTCTGAGGTCTCCCTGGAGCCTTCTCTTCTGCAGCTGAACACTCCCAGCACTCCCAGAGGGGCTCCACCAGCCCTCAGAGCATCTTTGTGGTCTCCTCTGGACTCACCCCAATGTGTGCCCATCCCTCTGATGCTGGAACCCCAGAGCTGGACACAGCACTGCAGGTGGGGTGTCACAAGAGCTCAGACTCCCCTCCATCGAATGCTTTTGATGCAGCCCAGGACAGGATTGGCTTTTTGGGCTGTGAGTGCACTTCAGGTCATGTTGAGCTTCTCCTCAACCAACAACCCAAGGCCTTCTCCTCAGAAATATTCCTGACCCACTCTCTGCCCAGCCTGTGTTTATGTTTGCCACTTGCTGACCAGCACAGGCAGCATCACCCAAACCACTGTCTCAAAACTCAAGTGGTGCTCAAATGATCTCCAAGTCCCTACAGGGGTTAATTCTTTCTAGAAACAATTCCTCACATTTCAACACAACACATAATTTTATGGTTTTTAAGATGGAAACATGGTGGTAAAATATATTGAAATAAGAATTTCTTTCAGTAGATGTAATTAAGGTACCCCTTGTTCACCTCAGAGAAGCATCTGCAGTGATGGCACAGATGTTAAGGTCATTTCCTAAACAGCTCCCCAGCAGAAATTCACACCAAGATGTGAATGTCCTTAGCAGTTTCATGGCTGTTGTGACATGAGAAGGTGATAACCTCATCCAAGAGCCCAGCTGGGAAAAGCAGCTACTCAAAATTAATTTATTGGGATGGAAATTGGGAGCAGCCAGAGGGTGGCACAGGGATGAGGATTGAACCACTGCTGTGATCAGAGTGGAGCACTGAAATCAGGATGCAGCATCCCTGGTGGGCTCAGCCCTGCCTTCCTCACCCCCCTGAACACCCCCGGGCTGGGAATTATTCTGATTCATTGTCAGGGAACTCTTCCTGCAGCACGTGTCTTTAAACTGCTCACACAGGATTTGGTTATGGATTGGGCCATGCTTGCTATGAGGTTTGTGATCAGTATTCAATGAAACATGGAAAAAAAATCTACAGTAAATGTAGGACTATGAATGGGACTTCAGTCATGGTCCCAGAGGTAACATACACAGTATTTTGCTATATTTAACATGGTAAGAAAAAAAAAAAAAGTCTGTATCATTCTAGGTGCCCCTACAGTCTTAATGTATTTCACCAATATCTGTTTTAGGTTGCACAACCAGTTCCCAAGACACCCTCCTGTCCCTCCCCCCAAATAAACTAGATTTAATAACAAGATAAATATGATGTGCTTCTCCTTGCTGAGTGCATTGACTTAAGGCATAGGCACAATTCCCCTCTTTGAACAGAGATGGTACAGTCCTGTGTCCCAATACAATTGTTACCCTGGGTGACCCTTTGCATTCAAATGTTGACTCAAAACATAATAATTACAGGAATCATTCATTAACAAATAGTTTGAATTCGTTGATTTATCAGAAAGCATTATTGAAATAAAAGGAAAGAATTCAATCCTCTTTCAGGAATAAATGTTTTTGGGAGTGCTGCTTTGTCAGGCAGCAACACATCTAATCTAAACTCCACAGAAATCTTCTCTGAGTCCAATCAGTTTTGGATTAAGCCAGAATTGTTAATTTAAAAAGAAAAAATTAAAAAAAAAAATCAAACCCTGGTACTCTTGAGACCACAAGAAAATATGTGAAAAGCTGTAAAAAAAGGGAATTGACTAAATTATTTCTAAAGATTTCTGTCAGCTATGCTTTATCTTGAAAATCACTTGAAGAATACCAGCTTTGGTTAGATATCACTAGAGATGAGCACAGATCTGTCTTATTTGCACATGAGGTAATATTTCAAAAGCATCTCAGTGGCTTAGAAACCTTGCTGCCCTCTTGAGATTTATTGTAACTTGGAAATTTTTGCCTTAACTGGTATATTTGGTTTTTTAAAGGATTTTTACATACATGTGGATGAAATTATGGGTCAGATTTCAATGATCTGGGCTCTTATCATTATTTTCCAAAACTTCAAAAGTGGAAGTAATGTTACCAGATCAGATTTTTGTGTTTTATCCTGCCTGTGACTCCTAGACTTTAAAATAAGGAAAAACTGCAACCATGATAAGATTCAACCACAGAGTTTTGGGGACTCAAATTCTAGAGGAACCAGCATCCAAAGCCCTTCCTTTCAGTAATCTGGCTTTGTCACAATCTTTATAAATCCTTAAAAAAAACCCTTTAATTTTCAGCATCTCTGATAATTGCAGTTTCCACCAAATCTAAGTGACCTTGGACTGTGTATCTTGAAAAGAAAGATGACAAAAATTCTGGTGTAGCATCTACATTATATACTTAATTTTATGATTTTCTCAGTTTCTAGCTGATCTTCTCTCTTTCTGCAGATATTTAGGCAATGTCCGAATCTTAAATCTTCACACCTTCACACCCAATATGTTCATAATTGAAGGTGTTAATGGGGAGTTTGTAGGGTGATCCAGGACACCTGTTGGCAAAAGAGGTTCAGAATTTTTCTACTTAGTCCAACTTTCACAAGTTTGTTCCTTTCCAATAACTAAGTACAACACCAGTTTTGCCAGCACAGAGATGATTTTAGGTTAGTGCTGGACCTGATGTGTCACACCTGAATAGCACAAGGCATCCTTGGCCATGCACAGGAAAGTGTTGAACCCCTTCAGAAAATCACATTTATTATTTCAGCAAGGTCTGGACTTTCCTGTTAGCCAAGTGCATCCCTCTCTCCCAACAGGGAGCCATGCTTCAGGTGGTAATTTAATTAAAGAGTAATTTAACCTCAGGTATCTTGGATCACTGTAGGTGATCAGCACAGCACATCTGGCTGCTTTGTTGTTTTTGAAATTATTTCTTTTTCATGCCACCGATTTAATGGCACAAAAATAATCAGAGATGCTTCTCTTCCCTTTGGATGGTGCTGGGTCTGCATTGGTTCCAGGGTTTTGCCCAGCCAGCAATCCCATTGCTCTGAGAACATGATCAAAAACGAGGGGTGATCATTGCACTGTCTTAATACAGAAGGGTCCAGGGGAGCATCAGATCCAATTCAGCAGATTGTACCAGTAAATTTTGGTGTGGGAAAGAGAAATGCTACACAAATGTAACAGGGTCACCCTGGGATTCCTTGTACTGAAACATCATTTTACACAGAGGATATATATATATATCTTATATATATTTTTTTATATATATATTCACACACACGCGCGCGCACACACAAAAAAAGTCTTTGATAGGCTTTCTGTGTTCTAGTAAAAATAGTTGGCAGCTGGATCTGTGAGACCAGAACTGGCTTTTGTGCTGCCTGTGATGCCCCTCTGCAAACTGTCTCTCAAAGGCAGACGCTCGTGTTTATCTGGCAGGTGGAGCTGCTGCCTGCCTGAGACAGGAACAGCCGCCCGTTGGGACACACACAGAGCTCGTAGATTTTTTGCCTGGACCCTGCAGAAGAGGAAGATCCTTGAGGCAAGTTAGGTAGTTTGATTTTTGCAGAATTCAACGTTATCTGGAGTCAGTGGTGGCGAGAGAGAGAGAAAAAAAAGAGATAATTAGCAGGGAGCTGTTATTTCTGATTTAAAGAAAGAGTTGTTATTTCAGATTTCTATGTTTAAAGAAGATTCTTCCAGACAGCTCAGCTGCTCCAAAAACTGGGTAGGGAAGTGTTTTAGGATGGGAAAGTCTAATACAAATCTGTGTGGGCACATTATCTGCCTTTACCACAACCTCCAGTTTGTTTCTGCTGATGTACCCACCGTGTTTCCTTGGCTTTCAGCTTCCTGGAACACGTCCAGGAATCCAATCCCAGGTTTGGATTGACCCAACCAGAGGTAGCCCGCTGTCAGATGGTGAGCATGGATGGTTCACACCCACCCAACCACCCTGCTCCATCAGGATCTCTGTCACTGTGATCCCATTGCCAGTTACACTTGCAGGCTCCCAGCACTGACTTTTATGTATATTTTATGTATATTTTATGTATATTTTATGCATGTTTTATGTATATGTGTAACACTTTTGTGTATATTAAAAATAACTCAAATGTTCTAACAGTCCTAAATTCCTCCTTACAAAACAACATAAGGCAAACAGCATGTGGCAGCTCTCAGACATGTGGCAGCTGCAGGGGAGTGCTCTGGCATCAGCCAGAATACAGTAAGATAACCTGAACCCCAGAATAATACAGGGTGACTGAGAATATCAGCAATGACAGTAACAATCTCCTAGTTTAGTATCCACCCATCTGATGTCCTGAAAGATACAAGTCAATTTATGCATTTAAAAGCATCTTAGTACTGAAAGCAACTGCCTGAAGTTGTGAAATGCCTTGGATTTCAATCTCAGTGTATTAAGCTGGTTTTTTTCTGGTATTTTTCAGAAGTTTTTTCTTAACACCCATGGTCTAGCTTTGGACTGTCTTAAAATGCAAATGTTTAGAAATAACAGAAACTGCAATTAAAGAGTCTTTCTATTTTATACCCCTGACACTAAGATAGGTAAATCTTAACTGATGTGGGAGCCCTCTTGCCTGGAGGTTTGTGTTCCGTGGGCAGCTCCTCCTGACAAGGGTCTCAGTGGTTTCCCCACTGGGAGCTCCTCAGCCTCATCCTTTGGTGCCTTCCATCACTGTGGCAGGAGGAGGGGATGAGAAAACCATCAAAACCATGTGCCCACATGATTTTGTGACACCAGAAGAGGCTTAACTCATCACCTACTTTACTTTTGCTCTATATTATCAGCTTTAAGTGTTCTCTCTTCCCCTTTGGAAGTGTCTCCAGTGCAACAACCTGTGTCTCCTAATGTTCCCTTTCGTTCCAGAATGAAACATCAGCCACAAAAGCTTTCCAGATCAATACCGTTGAATTAAGCTCTTCTTATAGAATAATATACGATAAAAGATTTAATTATGCTGGCCAAGTAAATCTTGTTTTAAAGTGACAAGGAAACAAAGAATTTAGGAGCAGTGTGCATTTTTACAGCTGCATAAATCTGCTGGAACAACAGATGCTATTATCCATGCACTTTAAAAATAATGAATCAGCCTTTGCCATGGAGTGAGCTTGCTTTGCATGGGATGTGCTCAATCAGGGTGAGAAGGAATGAAGTCAGGAGAGCACACTGTCCCCAGGCTTCCACTCACAGCAGCTTGGTGACCCACAGGGCCACAGCTCCGCAGGGGACCCATGCTTTGGCTTTGCTGCAGGGCTTTGCACTCACCTCTCCATCTTTGGATTCCAGCCTGAGCTCTGTCCTGCACGTGGCCTTCAGGCTGCCGGCCTCGGCGTTGATCTCGATGCCCTTGGGAGCCTCCATCACCAGCGCGCGTGTGGGCGACTCCAGCCTGCAACACAGGGACAGCCATGGGCTCCTGCTCCTGCTGAGCATCCCCATCTTGCAGCACACAGGGACACACAGCCCGTGGGCTCCACACTCCTGCTCCTGCTGAGCCCTGCTGCCCCTCAGACCCTGCTCATGTGCAGGTTTTCACCTGCTACCAGGGGGAAAGTTTCATGCACGGTGTGGTAAAACACATCACAAATCTGATCTGCTAACACTCCATGTCAGCTTTGCTATGCTGGACCAAGAGAAAAGGGGCAATGAAGCCACACCCAAGGTCAGCATGCTCTTATTTCTGGTTCAGCTTTCTCACTAATCAGTGCTAACAGGATATCAGCAAAGCTGAGCAAGGGTGCAAGTGTTTCTCTTCCTCAAACCACTGTTCAAACAGGAATAAATTAGTTCTCCTGACTTCCTACAATGTGAGGTTTGGAAGGGTTTAAGGATACAAGGAAATAAATGAAAACAATCAGGCTAAAGACCCCAAAATTTGTGGTCTCCAGTCCTAGGCTCACATCACACTAGGCATGACCATGTGCTCTGCAGAGCTTCAGCCCCTCCTAACCATGGATACACTGCAGATGCCTCTGACAGCCCTGCTACAGCCCTGTAACACAGCCAGACCTTCACCTTCAGCAATTGGGGTTAATACTGTAAAGAACAGAAGCACAAGGTTCAGTCTTCCTTGTTCATCATCCATTTCTAGGTCTTCTATTGCACTTGTCTCTTTCTTATTTATAATACAGTCTCTTACTACTCTCTGTATTGCAAATGGTTATAAAAAAACAACTCTCCCTCTTTGGGAATATCCTTTTAGTCGATTTAATCATCATTTATTTACTGTAGGATCACAAGATAGAGGCTGTGGTCTCCTCAGGTGAAGCAGGTGGGAGGGCTGGAGCAGAGGCTCCCCTGCTTTGCCAGTTTTGGGCTGGCAGCACTGACCCAAGCTGGGCACGGGGCAGCCAGCACCACCCCCAGCTCTGCTGGGCAGCTCTCAGGGTTTGCCTGCATCAGCAATTTCTCTGCTCTCCATATATATAATCATTTGTGCATGTAAGTGTGTTCTTAAATGGACTCCTGCTGGTACTGAGACAGCATTATGGGAGACTGAGGGAATTCAGCTGTATTTACTGCAGCCAACAGTTCAATAAAGCACAGGCACAGCTCCCTCTGTGTGGCACTTTTCAAGTTACGACTTTCCCTCTTTTCAGTGTCTTCATACTTCTGCTTTTTGAACACATTTCTCTCAAGACCCCAAACTTATCCATAATTTCCTGGCTGACTTAACTAAATCTAAATTTCTAAATTTCAGGGAGGCATATGCAGCCTAAGGAATGAGCTTGGTCTCATGGATAGCAGCCTCTGCACAGCCCTTCTGAGCTGCTTCTTGTTTTCTGCAGGGAAGCCACTTTTTATGTAAACTTCTGATTCCTTCCACTGGTATCACCCCTCAGCTGGTTCCTGTGTGAGGAACCTAAGGTTAAGACTGCTGTAAATCACTTTTTTTTCCCTGCCTGACTGCATTGCAGATTGCATGGAGGACAAAAAGCTGTCTGACCCATATTTTCCCTGGAGATTTCTGCCCAGGGACTCAGTACCCTCTCACCCTTGGTGCACCTCACGGGCTGGTGTTTTCCCTGAGAAGCAAAGGACCCTCTGCTTGCCCTAAGCCCCCAGGATCTGTGCTGCAGGGTCCGGCACACACGCCACATTCCTTCTCCACAGGCAGGATCCCTCAGGAGGAGCAGCAGAGTTTGGGCCAGTTAATATCCTAAATCATGTAGCTAAATTCACCAGAGGATGTGTCCAAACCCCAAGACAGCTGAGGTAATCTGAGGGTAAAATAATTCCTAACAACATGGCCTGGTGACTCTCCAGCTCTCCAGCATCTCAGTGACTCTCCAATTTCTTTGATGTCCTGGCTGTCTCAACATATTTGTTCATCTGTTAATCTTTTAGCTCTTCTATCCACCGAGAAATAAATCTCCTAGGTACAAAACAGTGCTCAGACACCACAGTGCAAACACTCTCCTTTGCAGCAGCCCTCAATTCCTGCTCAGTGCAGCAGCAGCCTCCCAGTCCCACACCTTCACTGGAGAGAGAGGAGAGCTGGGAAATCTGTGGAAGTCTTGGGGGAGGATCAATAGAGGAGCTTCTTGCACATCTTTCCCTGTGCACACAGGTCCCCTGAACAGCCAGCTGAGTTAAAATTCAAGCTTTGAATAAACCACCATTGATCTGGAGTGTCCTAGCCAACACTGCCCCAAAGTTTTATTCTCTTTCATGTGTAACGAAGTGACAGAGTTATTCTCCCTCCTCCACCTGAAGAAGTGGAATAACAGCATCTTGCAAACACTTTTGAAAACCATGTGATTTTTGGATGCATTCTAATCCATGCAGAGCTTCTTTCCTCATGGAGGCCTGAACAGCCCACGGTGTGATGTGGGACAAGGACACAACAACAGCCAGGGCTTTGCTGCTGCTCCATCACCCTCCTCACTGAGCTGACCCCCCTCCACCACCCCAAATCACAGCCTCAGACAGCTGCAATACTGCTGACAACACTTCAACCCAAGCCCAACCCTTTAACGCTGAAAATACAACTTTAAAGCCCAGGGATCTCTTTAGAATCTCAAAACTACAGAAATGTTTGAAAATATCACGACAGCAAAGTGCAGCTCTTTCAGTCATGAAAACCTTGGTCTGCAGCCCACATGGCTCTGTACTCTGCTGTGGTTTGGAACCTGACTCTCCTCTCTCCTCCATGTTCCATGTTGCTGTAAATCCATCTTTTTGGGACTCTTGTCCCAATTTATGCTACTGTAAAGGAGGACAGGAACATCTTAAAAATAGTTTCCTTGGTATTTAAGGGGCATATGTTTGTAAGGGATTTCATTTGATTATTTTCTGATATCCTGAATGAATCCCTGAGCCGCCTGACCATAAACCAGGAGCTGCAAAATCTATGCAAAGCCAGAGAAAGCAGCTGAGGAGTTTATGCTCTGGGGGTTTGAGCAATGTTTACTGAACACTTTCATTTGAAGCAGGCATTTAAGAGACACTCTACTTTTAAACCTAATTCTGCCTTCCAGAGAAGAACCAATTTGGAGACTAATAATGAAAGAAAATGATTTAGAGATGAACAGATAATTCATTCAAAATCAACATTTGTTTTCCAGTGTGATACTCCAGAGCTTTTAGTGGGATTCCCATCTTCTGGTGAGGTGTAAGCCTGTACTTAGAGCAGTAGGCTGGAAAGGTGGCTGCATGAATATAAATTGTTTCATTATTTGCTCCTGCTCTTGAATTTTCCATCCCAGCAATTGGCACATAAGCCCTTTTTATTGACCATGGGTGCTGCTTATTTTTGCTCCAGTATTTGCAGGACTGGATTTTGACCTCTCTCCCAGAGCTGGGCAGGAAGGGTAAATGCAATGTTGTGCACAGTTACAGCTTGCTGAATTCAGCACTGAGATAAGCTACTGCCATGAAATTGCTCCTGTCCCACCTGCAGCCTCCTGGGAGGTGGATGAAGAGACATTCTCCTGTCTGGGTGACTCCCCACAACTTGGGAACTACTCCTCTGGATCCCAAGGCTTCATATAAGTCCAAAATTAAAAAAAAAAAAAAAAAAGACACAAGTAACAGGATTTTCAGAACTATCCAAGTTCCCAAGTTCCACTTATTATAACGGGTGTTAGCTACTTTTGAAAATCCCATTGAGCACCTAAATGCCATAACAAATCTGACCCTTAATCTCAGTTCTTAGTTCTGCAACAGAGGTAAAAGCACTTCCCAACTCCATGGGGAGGATGGGAAGATAAATATATCAGCAGCTGTGAAGCCTTTATACACTGCAGTAACTGAGGCCAGGGAAGTCACCATGGCCAGGGATAAATGGCTGGCACGTGGAAAACAGATCCTTCCCAAGCTGCACTACTGGGCTTGTACCTTCATCAAAAATAGTTTTAGTCCTGTTCCTCCGGCTGAGCACACTGAGCTCCAGCTCACCACCCTTAAGGGACAGTGCTAAATGTGCCTCTCAAGCCTTCTACTCCATCCCACCACCAAAGCACCTCCTGTTTTAAAGAGAGGTGATGGCATGTGGGCATCTCGCAGGGAACCCCTGGAAGTCAACGGGAATTCTGTGCTCCTGAAAATCAACAAGGAAAAAAAATTCAGTGTCATCCCTGCTTTGCTTTGGGAACTTCAGCAATAATTTAAAGGAAATCAGCACATGGGTTTGTATTGTGGGTCCAGAGAAAGTCATTCACTTGGACAGATCCTTACTTACCCAGATTTCTAGTTTTCATTTCCTTCAGCATAAACAGTCACATGAATCACCTCAGTACCATGGAACCTATTTCCTTCTTGTCCCTCCTCTCATCCCCTCCAAGACAATGCAGCATTTTTCTTACTCTTATGAACAGCCTTTTGAATTTTGGCAAAAAAAGAGGGTATTAAAGATGTGCAGGCAGTATCACCTGAAGTTGGAGGCTGCTGATGTGCTTCCAATACAGTGGGCATAATTCTGTTAAAAAGTTAATTTTAATGTAAATGGTTCAGGGTGGAAATTTGCCCAGGTCCAGCACTGATGCAAACATGACTTGCAATCTGTGCCTTGCACCAAGGGCTGCAGAGGAGAGGGATGATCCTCAACATGTGAAAGGAGTTCATGGGAGCTGAGGACCTCCTGCTGCCACTTTGTAATTGTTCTCATTTTTTATTTTCTAATTTTTTCTTTTTTTTTTTTTTCTTTTTAACCAGGAATGGCCTCAAGCTTCAGAATTCCTTGTCCCCACAAGGGGCTTTTTCTGTGTGGGGCACAAATGCTGCTTGCAGTAAGGAAATGGGAAGAGAAGTTCATGCACAGGAGGTGAGGAGCATATGATGCAGCAGTGTGGTAACAGGAGCTAATTTAATTTTGCTTAGAAACCTCTGGACTGAGAATAGAGCATGTATTACTGCAGCTGTAGCCCATTACCTCTAATGGCTCTAATT